AAGAGTGTCAGCTTTTGCTGAAAAATGTATGTTTCTAACCTTCCTGGTTGCAGAGAAGAGCTTGAAAATGTCCCCAGCAAATGCTGTAAGGCAGAGGAGGAGTCTGACCTCTTTCTAGGCTAGTTATCTTGAGGAACAGAGAGTGGGTGCTCACACTGTTGGTCTTCCCTCCTCCTTTCTTCCAGGGTCTGTGAGCTGGCAGGCAAGCTCCTCACCAAAGCTGTGCAGAGCGATGAAGGTCTCAGGGATCCCTGGTAAATGGCAGAGCAGCGTGGCGGAGAACAGGAAGGTGTGCTGTGGCTGTCTGCAAAGCTGCCTGTGCTCTGCACCAGGCTGTCACAAGCTGCTTTAACACCTTTTCCTGGGTCACCCAGGACAGCAAGGCTGCGGAATTGTTGCCTTGTCTCTGCTAGAGCGTTGCTTCCCCTTTGCTGCCCGTAGCTGTTGGCCTCGTGGTACCTCTCACCTGTCAAGAGACTGATGGACACTATCAAAATTTTCCTTGAGTGCTGGCAGTGTTGTTCCCTGGCTCTGCCTCTTTATTTTAAATTGTGCTTCAAACATGAAAAACAAAGGCTGAGCCTAAGGCTTCCCCCTGCTCTGCCTTGCTATCAGTCTGGATCTATCCCACCCCAGAGAGCCGGGGTCTGCAAAAGGAAGGCAGGGCTGTCTCTGGAGCAGCTCCTGCATGTAAGGATGAGGCTTGTGGCTGGGCAGGCTTTTGGTAGCCAAGTTAAGGTTTATTTGCCTTGGAGAGGCCAGTGCATGGGTGCTTAATGAACAGCCCAGCAAATGAAGCAAGGAGGGGAAAGGGATAGACCAAGATGAGCAGAGAAATGCCCTCCTGAGCATTCCAAGCCGCTACAAGAGGGACAGAGCCCTGGGGGAGGACGCCCTGTGGGACCCACCATCACCGAGCTGCCAGATGGCATGTGAGGAGGGTGCAAACATCCTCAGCTCGGGTCGTATCCATCACGGGTTTCCCCCAGCCCCTGCCTGAGCCTGGCTTTCTGCTGTGTGGGCTTCGGTGTGTCGAGTGCCACGCACCAGCTGGCTGCTGGATCCCTCAATGTTAATGACAGCCTGTCTTGTTCAAAGGGTCTGTCATGCCCTCCTCACACGTGTAGGTGTTGCCACCTCAGAAACAGCCTTCTTTTCTTGTCCTTGCTTGTCCTGAAAGCTCCCGGCAGGCTGCAGAGAACCCATCCTCAGTTGTACCCCCAGCCTTGCTGAAATCCTTTCCTCCAATTTGGGAGCTGGTCCTGCATCTCTCAGGCTTGGGAGGTGGTGGGCAGAGAAGTCTGGCCATGCTGGTCCCAGAGGAAGAGACAGCAGCAGTCAGATGTGCAGGCAGGGAAGGAGGGGAAGAGCGAGGGAGAGATACAGGGAGCTTTTCATTCCCTCCCTGTAGGTGGAGGAGAGCACGGAAACAATGCTGGGCAGCAGAACTGTGGGGGGCACAAGGAACCAGCCTAGAGCCTCTGGCAAAAACAAACTATTTGCACCCAGTCCAGGCGGGCAGGAACATCTGTGCTGGCACCCTGGGCTGGGGCACGGGGTGGGCGATGAAGATATCTTTGGATTCCTTGGGGGTTACGTCTCAAGTACCTGACCTTCTGGGTAACCAATGCTTGCTGGGGCCATTCCCTGAGTAAATCTTTTCCCTGGCAAACATCCCTGTCTACCCTGCATGAACACCAGCACCTGAGGGCGAAGTGTCTGCTGGTCACCCCATCCTGATGCTCTCGCAGAGATGGATCTTCCCCAACGCCCGGAGCAATTCCTCTCTGCCCACAATCAGCTTCCCATGAGGGGCTTCTCTCGATGCGAGCAGATCTCTGCCCCCTTCGTGCTTCTCAGGCAGCCAGGATGGCACCACCGGGGTTAAGGCAGGTTGGAGGCTGCTGGAATGCCACCGGACAAAGCTGGGATTGAGGCGCTGCCGCCTCCCTCCAGATTCCTGGGGGGTCAGTGCTCAGGGCAGCCTGCTCTGCTGAGCACTCGCCTCCTGCCCCGCCGGGTGCTGCCTGGTGGCACCCAGAGGGGTGGGAGGCGATGCCTTCTCCCCTGGTAAAGCCGAATTGCTGCGTGGTGGATCCGTGGCTGAGCACAGGTAGATGCACTCGCCAGTGTCCGCGTGAGTGTTCTGCGCCCGAAAATGAAACTGTTCAAGGGTGGAGGGGGAATGTGGATCCAGGTTGCTGCTGCTGGGGCTCTTGGGGAAGGGATGCTCAGAGGGAAAGCACTGCTTTTCCCCCTCTGCTTGCTTGCAGGGTTCTGGTTTTTACCTAGGGGAGCAGATGTTCAACACCTGGCCTGTGCTTGGCCACTGTCACTCACTCATCTACTGTGCGTGGTCTGTGAGTGACAGTCTTGCCGGGCTTTTAACTTCTTAAACAAGGCTGGGAGGACGGTGTAGTCTGCTAAGCTGTGCTGCAGGTGCACTTGCACCCAGGTAGAGCTGATCCCCTCCAGGGACAGAAGGGTGGGTTGGAGGGTTTCCTGGCAGCACTGTGGGGCATCACTGTGTGACTTCAATGTCACGCAGAGCATTGATTTTTCTATGTGTAAGCAGCAGCTTTAGCTTGAGTGCTTTATTATTCATTGCTCCAAGATTCCTGTGAACTCTGTGGGTGATGTTTTTTTTCTCTTTTCTTGGTGCTTCTGGAGTGGCGGGATGAGGAGGCGGAGGTGGTAGATGTTTTTAGATGAAGCAAACTTAGCACCAATCTTGGGGATTTGATTTCTCTCTGAGAACCGACATGGATCGGGTATTGTTTACCTACACGGCCAAATTTCTTCTCTGGTGGTTTCCTCCTACCTGTCGTTCTCGTTGGCTTGGCTGGATTCGTCCCCTGGATAGGGCAAGTGAAAAGTGTCTGCATGCTGCCCTTGGAAGAGCTGCTGCTTTTCCCTGGAGGTGGCCACCCTTCTCTAGCAAAGGGGTGCCTGTTGTATGTGCTGTTTAGAAAGCACTAATGCAGTTAATGATGGTTGATTAATCACCTGGGGATAATTACCACAAATGAGTTCTAATATCAAAGTAGCATTAGATTGAAATGCTGCCATTTCCCCAACCAAGTGTATCAACACCTCCCTTGTGAAGATGCAACGTGCCCGTGTGTTTTTCACAATAAATAATGTTTTTCAGAAAGGAAATCCCCTCTACTCAGAGTCCCATGTGAGGTGCTTCTAGACCTGCTGGTGTCACCAGTCACGGTGTCACAGTGATGTCTTCGCTGCCATCACGAGCAGGAGCGTGACACAGTGCTAAAGGCTTAAGAAAGGATTCCTTTCGCACCCATTAAAGGTTTATGGTCGAGTGGCACAGTGCAAAGTGTATTTCCTTTGTGCAGCTGAGTAAAGATTTACCTCTTGGAGCATCCTTCCCACTGCTCCCTGCTCTGGAGAGGTACAGAGGAGAAGCAACATCTCAGGTTTGCTGTGCAGGTGGAGAGTGTCCTTGTGCTTTGGCAGAGGAGCAGGTGGCAGCTCCCAGCATTGAGGATGGGGTAAAGGAGGTTGGCAAGTCCCTTTTGGTCCCTAGGAGCAACAGGACCTGCTGTGCTCCCCTCTTCTTGAGGCATAGCAGCCCTGTCTGGCATGGAAGGAAATCGCCATCAGCCGTGCAGGGACTGTGACACGCAAGTGCCAGCTCTGATTTGACACCTAGCAGTGAGGTGAGTTCAATGCTGGCTAACTGAGGAGCACAGAGACCCTGCAGAACGGGAGATGTGCAGGGAGCCCCCTCCTTCAGCCTTTGCTCTTAATGCTGTTGGAGCTGGCAGCGCTTCCTTTCTCCGGCCTTGGCCAAAAGCTTCCCTGGAGCTGCTAACAGGTCCCTCCGGTAGCAGGGCAGCTCTCCTGCAAGTTGAGAAGCCAGGCAGGGTCAGGACAAAGCGAGGTAGGTGTCCACAGACAAGTGCCTTAAGCAGCAGGCAGCTGTCTCTGGACACAGCGCGGTTCTCCTTCTGCCCAGGTTGAAGCCTCGCAGGATGGGGCAGGACCTTCGTGTGTAACCCCCCGGGCTCCGAGTGGTGTCACCGGGCCACAGCCCCCTCTGGAGATGAATCTTTGCTGGAACGAGATCAAAAAGAAATCCCACAGCCTTCGGTAAGAGCTCCTGCCTGGACAAGCTCCAGGGCTGGGCTGGCCTTCCAGTCCTGCCCGCTGCGTGGCCTTGTCAGGAGGTGTTTTGAACTTGTTCCTTTGATGGGCCACATGAATTCGTGGTGACCTTGGCTTTGTTTTCCCTCTTGTGCACAGACCTCCAAGTGATTCTCCCTATGCATCCCCTCCATTTCCACCCATCCTCTCCCTCCTTTCCTTCACTCCTGCTTGCTCCCAGCTGCGTACTCCATCTCCTGCCCTTGCTGTCTCTGCAGCCCGTGCCTTTTTGCCACCACCTCTCTGCGCTTGTCCCCTTGCTGGGAGCCCTCTCCACCGTGTGGGGAGCGAGAATGCGCCTTTCCAGACCATCAGAGGTTGCAGCTCCACAGCCAGCATGACGGAGAGCTTAACTGGGGCGTGTTAATTGTCTCCTGCCTTAACGCAAGGCTCCTGGAGGCTGTCCAGTCATGTAAATGCTGAGCCGAGCCAAGCCCCCCCCCATGCTAGCCAGAGCACAGCCCTGACCCACGGGCAAATGCTGAGCAACTCAGTCCTCTGCTCTGGGCTCCGGCGTGATGAGCAGCCTCACAGTTTCCTCTCCCCAACGCCCCCGTGCTTCACCGCTCCTGGCTGAGGGTCATGCACCCCTCGTGCTGAGGTGTGTTTCCATTGCTGAGGTGTGTTCCCATCACTGGTGGGGTCCTCTGGGTGCTTGGGGGTCACCACCCCAGCTGCAGTGCTTTGCCTCCCCTCCTTGGGAAATCTGCTCCGCTCCTGTCCATCTAACCGCTGTCCTCCCTCTCCTTCCCAGAGCTCGGCTGGAGGCCTTTTCTGACCACAGTGGGAAGCTCCAGGTGCCTCTCCAGGAGATCATAGACTGGCTTGGGCAGAAGGATGAGGAGCTCTCAGCCCAGCTGCCCCTGCGGGGTGATGTCCTCCTGGTGCAGCAGGAAAAGGAGACACACGCGGTATGTTCCCTCGCACCTCCCCTGCTGCTGCTCGCTGCTGAGACGAGCTGCAGCCCTGCTTCGTGTCGCTGCCCATGCCCGCAGCCTATGAGTGCACCAGTCCTTGCTTGTGTCCATCTCTGCCTCATGTGGAAAAGCAGAGCCCCAATCCTGTAGCAAATTCCCACAGCACGCAACTGGCAGAACCTGTCTGGTTTTAGGCAATAAATCAGCTCTACAGCCTCGAGACACGTGCTGGTGCTGCAGCTGGGAGTGAGCCCCGCTTCTGTGATGGTTTCTTCCTTATGTCCTACGCCTGCAAGAGAGGGAATTCCCTCTCACTGGCCTCTGCTTTTGAGATCCTGTGACCTGAGGAGATCACTTAATCTCAAGGAGACCTGGTGGTCAGGACATGAGTGATACCTGCAGTAGCACACGTTACCATCATAATATCTAAAAATGCGTGAAACCCAGACAGATCAGAGTTTCCTGCTTCCCTGATCAGAGCATGTCCTTCTCACTGCCAGTGGCTGTTGCATTTTAGTCGTTTTTACCTTGAACACAAAACTAAACTGCTGCTTAGTGCTGCAGTGCCTGTGAAAGCACGGTCAACACACCGGTTCCCCTTGCACAGCTCTGGCACAACACACGCGCTGGGCTCGCCGTTCTGCTTCCCCCCTCCAGCAAAGCTGCAGTCCAGGTCGCTGCAGGGGCCACATTTCGCAGGTGGTCATCCCCTAACTGCAAAAATATTCCTCTGCTGATTTCCCTCTGGGTCTTCAGTGAGGCTCAGGCTGTGGAGTGAATAAATCACTGCAACCCTTGTCGAGGGGGCAGCAGGGGCAGGAGTCTCCAGCTCAGCCCACTGTCACATCTCTGTGCTCTGCTTTCCAGGCTTTCATGGAAGAAGTGAAGTCTCGAGGACCATACATTTATTCTGTGCTGGAGTCGGCACAGGCTTTCCTTTCCCAGCATCCGTTTGAGGAATTGGAAGAACCAACTTCGGAAAGCAAAGGTTCGTGGCGTTCTCCGCTTTTCTGTTCTCTCCTAGGCTGGACAAGAGAGGATGGAGCAGAGGTGGCTGGAGTGGCACAAAGCGGCACATCAGTGCTTTGCCTCATGCCATCATGCACCAGGCTGTTTCCAATCCTTTGGCCAGAGTCAAGCCGGTGCAAATGGTTGCTTCTGACCTGAGCAAAGGCAAAGACTGCTGACATAGCCCTTGATGAGATGCACCTTGTGAGATGGTGCACGGATCTGCTCTGCAGTAGGTTTTTAAAAGACAGCAGGGCTTCTGCCTGTGAGAACAGACGGAGATCAGGCAGAGGTCTGTGAGCAGCTAGAAACCTAGAGATGGATACTGTTATCACTTGGTTTCCTTCCCTCTTTCCATTTTTCCCTAGATTTTTTAATCTCCCTTTTCCTTGCCCTGCCTCCATCTCTTGCTCACTTTCCTATGGGCTGGACTCTCATTTTTTGCTTTCCATTTCCTTTCTGCTTTGCCTTCACAGATGTCTCTCCCCGGCACCGGATCCAAAACATCAGCCGCTTTGTCTGGAAGCAGGCAAACGTGGCCAGTGAGCTATGGGAGAAGCTCACTGCCCGGTGCGTGGACCAGCACCGTCACATCGAACGGACACTGGAGCAGCTCCTAGAGATTAAAGGGGCCATGGAGGAGCTCAGCACGACGCTGGACCAGGCTGAAAGCGTGCGTGAAACCTGGGAACCCATTGGGGACCTCTTCATTGACTCTTTGCCAGAGCACATCCAGTCGACCAAGGTACTTCTGGCTCTGGGAAGGCTCCAGCCTTGCTGCCGGAGGCGATGAGATGCTGCTTCCCAGGAGGGCAGTGCTCCTCCTCCTGACTGCTCAGTCCAATACAGCCTTGTTACTTGGGGTCTCAGTGTTCAGGTGCTCACTCCAACAGCCCCCAAGCTTTGTGAGGGTAGATTTGGCCCCCAGCATCCCGAGCACCTCGCCATGGCACAGACCTTCCATGGGTACGGTGGCTCAGCATAGATGAGCCAATGTCCGTGTCCCACTTCTAAGTAGATTCAAGTAGTCTCCAGCCCGGCCGGTTTGTTTTATGGGGGTTTTTAATGTGTGAAGGAGTGTCAGTCAGTAGTGTCTTACCAGCCACTAGCCCACCCTAGCTCCAAGCTCCAGCCAGCTCCAAGTCCTGACCATTCACCACCTTCTTTTCCTTCCTCCCCTGCCCTGTCACTGTTACCCTGGGCACGGGACTCCAGCTGTTCAAAGAGGAGCTCTCCCCTATGAAGGATGGGGTGAAAGTGGTCAATGACCTCGCGCACCAGCTTGCCATCTCGGATGTCCACCTGTCCATGGAGAACTCCCGCACCCTGGAGCAGATCAACACACGCTGGAAGCAGCTGCAGGTGGGAAGGAGTTGGGACCAAGCACTGCAAATAAACCACGGGAGGGAGGATGCTGGGGAAGGGCTGTCACCCTGAGCTGCAAGGAGGATAAAGTAAGGCTTGGCATAGCAGGGGTAGTATAGCTTGTGTTTCTGGAGGAAGAGAACATCAGTTCAGTGTGAGGAAAGTGGCTGGTAGATCTGTAGAGGTCTTGAACAAGAAAAGACAAAGGGAGAAACAAAGGATGCTCTCCAAGGAGAATCAGGATCTGATGGGGGCATCAGTACCAGCTGTGGCTTTGTTGGTATCTGTGAAAATAAGGATACAGGTGACCTGAAGATGTGGCTTGTGTTGCTGCAGCCTGTGGGCAGAAGTGTAGAGGGCTGAGCAGGCTGGGGGAAACCAATACCAAGGCAGGTGAGGGAGGAATGGGACATGTGTGTTGGAACATGCCTGAGTCCATCCACAGGCTTTCCTGAAGGGGGGCTTCAGTCTGAAATGTCTGATGGGCTGCCATTGAATTCTTCCGTCCTGTTCCCCAGGCCTCCATAAACGAACGCCTGAAGCAGCTCCAAGATGCCCACCGGGACTTCGGACCAGGCTCCCAGCACTTCCTCTCCTGTACGTGAGCAGGTCCTCCCGGCTCCCTGCCACGAGGCTGCCTCTGCAGAGTGGCTTAGCACAGGCTGTGGCCCAGGAGAACGGGGTACAGAGTCCTGTTGCTGAGCCCAGACCTGCCCTGAGACACACATGCAGCTAGAAAAGGGCTCGAGCCAGTGCCTCGTGCACAGGAACCAGAGCAGGAGGCATTTCCCAAAGTTCATTTTGTTCTACCCCACTTTGTGGGGCCAAGGGTGGGACATCAGTGTGGTTTCCCTTCAGAGGACAGAGCTGTGACACTTGCAGCAGCTTGCAGATGATCCCATATTAATGATTTGGTGGCCAACAACGTGAGGCTTTTTATTCATGTGCTGAGGCAGAGGGAAGCTGTTCCTACAGAGCTGAGCTGCTGACAGCTCTCAGAGCGACAAAGGATGGGCAGCAGGTTGTGCTTCAGAGTCTGTGGTCTGTCCTTGGAAATGCTGAGCCCTGCAGGGTCTCCAGATGTCAGCGGGGTTTGTTGGCCTCTGTTTCTCTGCAGACCATGTCCTCCCATCTGAAAGGAAGAGGGACTTTTCCAGTTGCTGGAATTCATAAGCTGTCTGTGACAAGGGGAAATAGCTGTGGGTCATAAAAGGGCTTTCATCCTCTAGATAACAAATGTAGGGTGGCAGGTAACTGGTGCAGGATGCATCCTCGTCTTCCCAAGATACTGCAGCTGGCACACAGAGCATGAGTGATGGCAACAGAAGATGCTGTGAGTGCCCAAGCCTGGCCATAACAGGCAATGCTCTGTGTGTGCCCGAATCCCAGCAGCTACGAGCCCTGGTGGCCACAGCATTGCCTTGGGCATCATCAAAAGCGTCAGGAAGTGTCTCTCCCTGAGTTCTGAGCTCAGCCGGATTCAGAGCCCCTGTCCCAAGAGAGGCAAGACACCTCTGACAAGACCAGCACTCTTAGGTCTCCCTTACAGGCAGCATCCACTTGCCTGCTCCAAAGCCCCCAGTTGGTGATTTTGGGAAGGCACAGCCTCTTCAGAGACACCCAGTCCTGCTGGGCTCTCATCAGAAACAACATCAACCTAAAGGAGGGTTTGGAGTTGATCCAACATGTGTCTCTCTCCTTGCAGCCTCTGTCCAGGTCCCCTGGGAGCGAGCCATTTCCCCCAACAAAGTGCCATACTACATCAAGTGAGTGTGCTCCCAACCGCAGCCCGTCGTCTTCTCTGGTCCAGTGGGAAGAGGAATTGGGGATCAAAGAGGAGCAGGATTAGTGAGAGGGATGGTTTGAGCGCTGGCCTCCAGCCAAACATGTCACTCCCCAGCGTGGCAGAGCCAGAATTTGCCTGCCTGCTGAGATGCCCCAGATGAGGGGGAATGCTGGTTGGATGGAGAGGGGTCTGGCAGCAAGTCACAGCATCCTCCTGTGGCACCTTTCATGCTGCTGTGGCTGCACGGGGAGGGTGCTCACTGAGGTACAGCAGCCCCAGCCTCTGCAGGCACTGGGAGACTCAGTCCTGGGGCTTGCTGGGTCCTATTTTTAAATTTCTCATGGCAGCTGCTTAGTTCCCAGCTTGACTCTTGGTTTCCTTCTACTTTCCTTCCAGTCACCAGGCCCAGACGACGTGCTGGGACCACCCGAAGATGACAGAACTCTACCAGACGCTGGGTAAGGAGGCTGCCACAAAACCATTTGAGCAACGTCCAGCTTTTCAAAGAGATTTCCCCCCAGCCCACCTGCTCCCTTCTGAGGCATAAGGGCCCCCAAAGTGACCGGGTGTGACTCCCTGCCAGGCTCTGCCCCTCCTCCCAGACCTTACTCTGCTTCTGCTGGTGGGGCTGGTTTCTGGGAACTGCAACTGCTGTTTCCTGCCCTGGAGATAAGGATGTGAAGCTGTGGGTTTACTCTTCTTTTCCCATGTTATTGCAGCGGATTTGAACAACATCAAGTTCTCAGCCTATCGGACAGCCATGAAGCTACGACGAGTGCAAAAAGCTCTGCGATGTGAGTGTGGGCAGTATTTCCCTCCTGCTGGGTCTCCCTTGATAAAGGCATTAAAATAACGCAAGTTTTTATCAGCACATCAAAGGCAAGAGCCCACCAGGGGACAGGTAGCTGAGGTGAGAAGCCCAGGAAGATGAGCCTGTGGCTGGAAACTCAGCAAATCCACCCTTGACCTTTCTTTGCAGGCTTAGGGTGAAAATGCCTCAAGGGCAGGTGTTAGTCAAAGGGATTTGAGAACAAAGTGGCCCAGAGCTGTTGGATCACAAAGGGGCTCACCCAGGGGGTCCAAGCATGGATGTAACCGAGCAGAAACCAGCCTTGCTGGCAGGGACAGACAGTGCTCTGCTGCCTGAAGAGGAGGAAGAGAGCCAATAAACCTGATTTTTGCGCTGTTTAAATCTCCAGTTAAAACCAGGTTTAACAGCCAGGTGAATAAGAAGCGACAGGAGTTCGACACTGTGTGTGGCCTCTCTGAGAGGCAGCTGCTCCTTGGAAACTGCTGAGCGATTTCCAGGGTAATTGGCAAGCGGGTGGAAGGGGATCTGATAGGCATCCTTGGCTGCTGGTGAGCTTTTGGCAAGGCTCTCGCCTAAGGCTTTGTCAAAATTAAACAGCGGCAGGATGAGGGAAAACCCCTTCCTGAACTAATCGTTCCCAACAGGGAGGAGATATGGCTGGGTAGCAGTGGGGTCCTAGGCAGACCTGTGCTCCTTGATACCTTACGAAAGGCCTGCGAAAAGGCAATGGATGAGAGCGAGAGGAGGTTTAGAACTTGGGAGGGTCGAACCCTGGCTGTGAAGTAGTTTTGTGACACTGCAGTGAGCAGGCTGTCCCATACCTGGGGACATTTGGAGCTGACAGAATGCAAATGGGAGAAAGCAGCAGTTAGCTTTTGTCACCCTGCAAAACGTCCGTGGGGCAGTGGCCACGGCGAGGAGAAGGGCAGAGAGCAAAGCAGAGCCCTGACATGCGCTGCTTGTGCATCTCTGGGTGCCCACCTCCTGCATCTCTCGTGCTGCACTTCTTCCCAGCCCAGAAGTGATGTAGGAGAACACAAATAAAGTGCTTCTTGTTTGAGACTCCCGAGAGAACAGCACAGAGGCTGCCAAGGCAGCTTCCCCGCGATGAGAGGTTTGGTGGAGTGAGTGGCCAAATAGGAAAGAGTCGTCGGAGCCATAAGCGGGCGTGGGTAGTGTGGACGCGAGGGTGAGGAGTGTTACTCGCTGGCGTGTGAATTGGGGCTCCCCAGTGCAACTGTCAGCAGTTTTGACAGGAGAAGGGAGGACCTTTTCACAGAGTGAAGCTACAGTATGGAAATGGCATGTGATCCCCTGGGCACTGAGAACATAAACGGTCTTAGAAATGGAAAGACTTTCAGGAAAGAAAGGCTACGGGCTGCTGAGCACGGGAGCACGTACAATCTGCACCCGTAGAAATCTGAAACCAGGGTGAGCCGGGGTAGCTCACGCTGTTGTAGCTTCTAGGTTTGTGCCTCGACACCTGCTGCTGGTCAGAGCTGGAGACAGGGCTGCTTCACCTCTGGGCAGCTGCTCGCAGAGTCTGCGTGGGTCTGTGCCCCCTCACCTCCCCACGCCAGCCCGGCGGCGCCCCGGGACACGCAGAGGCTGGCTCCAGGTGCCTGTGGCTCCTTTTGTGGGTACAGCAACAAGGAAGGGAGGTCACACAGAGCAATGGCTCGAGTTGACTATAGGTGGAGATGTGGATGTTTTGGGAGGGCTTTATGGATGGGAGAGGGATTCTGAGAGCTGTGCCCATCCTGCCTGCATCTTCCCACCACAGGGGCACTGTCCCAGGTGAGGGCAAGGCTGTGTCTCCTTGCTCTTAATCTCACCTCTCCCATTTTCTTCTTTGCCTCCGTTCCCCCCACATGTGCTTTCTGCTCAGTGGACATGGTGACCCTGGCCACGGCCTTGGAAATCTTCAACGAGCACAACCTGCAGCCCAGCGACCGGGCGATGGACGTGGTGGAGGTCATCCACTGCCTGACCGCCCTGTACGAGAGGCTGGAAGAGGAGCGGGGCATCCTGGTGAACGTGCCGCTCTGCGTGGACATGAGCCTCAACTGGCTGCTGAATGTCTTTGACAGGTACCAGTCCCTCGGTGTCCCACTGAGCTGCCACCCTTGGAAGGAAACCTCCGTGCTGTTCCTCCAGCTGGCAGTGCTGCAAAAAAACCCCTGAGCCATAGCAAGGGGGCTGCCTGGCCACAGGCTTGCCTTGCTGATTCCCCTGCATGTAAAAAAAACATTAAAAACAAACCAAAAAACCTTCAAAATGTTTGCCAACCTATGCAATATCTCGCCTTGCAGTGGCCGGAGCGGGAAGATGAGGGCTCTCTCCTTCAAGACGGGCATTGCATGTCTGTGTGGGACGGAGGTCAAGGAGAAGTTTCAGTGTGAGTCTCCCTCATCTTCCTCCCCCAGGGCTTGGTGTGGACTAACCTGGGGAAAGCAGGAGTGCTTTTGTTTCCTGGATTAGCCCTTCTTTGCTCGGAAAGAGCAGGGAAACAGCTTTCCTGCAATGACTAATCTGCTTGCATTGCCAGCTCTCCCTCCCTCCTTTTCTCCCTCCCCAGGCCTACGCCGCCAAAATTAGGAGGCATTTTTTGCAGACTGACTGGTGCTGCAGTGATCTTGCTTGCATGGCACTATAAGGAACAGTGCAAAGAAGGCAAATGGGCAACAGTTATCCAGCGCTTCCCAGAAGGGAAAAAAAAATAAAGGGGGGTGGATGGCTGGGAAGTAGGTTTCAGACAAATTAAAGGAAGCCCCTTTTCTCATTTCATTTTAGCTGTGGTACTCTCTGCTATGAGCTACTGCAGAAGTGGGAGCATTAGAAGCACCAAGGGGCTAAATAAAGGGATTGGGCAGATTTGTAGAGGACAGGCCAGCCGTGGCTACTAAAGTGATGTATGTAACCTCTGCCTTAAGAAAACTCTAAACCCCTGGTTGTTGGGAGCTGGAAAGACACTAGTGAAGGTTATCTAGTCATAGCTCAGTTTTTATTTCTTATCTGAGCTCCTTGCCGTGACTGATCCACACGCTGTTGGTAGGGCTAGGAAAAGGTTGGACTCGATCTTACAGGTCTTTCAGCTGAAACTGTTCTGTGATTCTGTGATTCCCTGCGCTTGCGTGATGGGTCGGGACATCAGCCGTGTCTCCAACGGGGAACGGTGTGTCTTGTCCTGCTGGCAGATCTCTTCAGCCAAGTGGCGAACGCCGGGGGACTCTGCGACCAGCGGCACCTCGGCGTTCTGCTCCACGAGGCCATCCAGGTCCCGCGCCAGCTGGGCGAGGTGGCGGCGTTCGGCGGCAGCAACGTGGAGCCCAGCATCCGCAGCTGCTTCCGCTTTGTGAGTAGGGCTGCCCCGGCCTGTGGTGTCCCCTCTGCCAGGAAGAGGCTCCCGGAGGTGGCGAGGAGCTTGCAGCATCCCGTCACAGCTGGGTGTCCTGGCTCTGAGCAGCCCCCTTCTTCTCCTCAGAGCAATGGGAAGGCCACCATCGAGGCGTCCCAGTTCCTGGAGTGGGCCAACCTGGAGCCGCAGTCCATGGTGTGGCTGGGCG